GAAAATACGCTATTGACTACGTGTTGCTTCATTGATTTCACCTTCATTGCTTCTATCCTTTCAGAAGAAAAATATGACTATGATTGGCATAAAATAAAAGCATGTGTTATCTTTCATTTCGAAAAAAACAAAAACAGATTTTCAATTAGAATCGTTTTTGGCCGAAATGCTGTTTTAAAACGAATCTTTCAATCTCGATTAATATATAACTGAATAACGTCACTTCGTTCTATACGATAACAGCTGCCACCGCCATCAGTATATATATGTAGTTCGGCTATGTTTTTAAGATTTTTCTTCCGTCTTTTTCTTTGAGATATTTTAGTTTATGAACAAAAACGAATATGGAAGATATGCCTTCCTAAGAAACTCAATTTAAAATATCCATTTCTATATATGAACATTTTTTTTCTCGTTTTTCTAGTTTATTATCATTTAACTGTGAAGAATTGCATGTCACATTAGTGTTTTTATTATTACAACATATTTTATTCATGTAGAATAATGTGCGTGTACTATTTTCTTAGTAAAAATATTCATTAATGATAAGAACTTCTGAATATAACCATGATAGTGGGAGTTAAGCTTGTGTGAAAAAAATTGCAAAAGTTATCGGTACGATGAAGTACCACATCGAGTATAAAAGCTCGTTCCATCACAAAACCGTCCGGATAATCAAAGAAAAGAGAATGTGGAATTTCGCCAATTGAAAAATGCCCATACATGTGTCTCGCTATTGACGAACTTCCTACTACTCGATGTGATTTTCTTTGAAAATAGGATTCATTTTAATTGTAGAAGAGAAACTTCTATGAAAAGTTTTTCAAACTATAGTTTCGACTGTAGTTGTCTGTCAATTATGAGCCAAATATGACAACCAATTAAGCTGTTCGAAAGTAAATACAAACATAGAGTTTGAAAAAATGTTTTCATTTATCAAATGCGAAGAAAACAGAAGAAAACTCAGTTAATATGGTATCGTCATTCTTTTTTTGTCGAAATCATTCACCTTTATTTTTTATCGCAAAAAGTCATAAAGACTAAAGGTTTATCGAGGAACAGTTTTTCAACAAACTGAAGTGTCAACCATATCTCTGTTTTTGGCATTAAAACTTTTTTGCACTGTTCAAATGGATTTTATGTTGTTCACCATTGTATTTTACGCATACAGATACATAATACCAAGTCAGTTGAACATAATGAAATTCTATATTTCCATATGTGGTTCTTTTTAGATTACTTATTAGTCAAGAACATGCGGAGAGGTCGATCAATAATGGATTCTCTGAACAAAGGTCTCTAGCGCTGTTTTTTTCAGTATATTTACAGTAACTCCACATGCATATAACATATTAAAATTAGCTCTAGGAAAGTATATTATGTCGATATACATGTGTTTTTATTTTGTGAAGTCACGTCCTCAACGATTGACTTTGCCCATATATCTAATAGTAAAATGCTTTCGCATTTGACGATTAATCAATACACTAACGGTAAAATCTCATATACAGCCGTAATAAATACTTTGAAATGGGTATCGGTAATTTTCATTCAATTCTTTTTAAATATCTGTCTTGATTAATACTTTATTAGATTAATTGTTTTTCGCGATATTGAATCTAAACACTACGATTATGAAGAAAAAAAGTCAAAATATTTGAAAATTCAAGGAAAAAAATAGAAAACTTATGTTTTTAGAGCACAATCATTAGTAAACTAGTTAATATAACTATTAATTTCATATCATTTTTTAAATATTGTCCATGATTTTTTGCTATTAACTGTCGTTGTTTGGAATCATCTTCAATATCTTTTGAAAGAAAACTACGAAATAACTTTCTTGTACCAAGTGTTTGTATTGGTCGATACACATTTTTCATTACTTGAGCATTATCATCATGTAAATATCTAAAAGCATGAAGTTGCTGAAAAGATAATTTCAGCGGATCTACTAAAACACTCCATATAACTGATTCATAACAAGGTGGTGTTGTTAATGAACCATCATAACGATAATAACGACTCATACGTTCTTCACCAATTAATGCTTTCACACTAAATGCATCACTGACAATAGTTTTTTGATGTTGACCTCGAACATGTTGTAATGCATCAACTAACGGTTCAAGTAATGGATTCGGTTCGTCACTGAGCTAAAGATACAAAAAGAAAACACATCAATAACAACATAGCCTATGGTGTGAAAGTTTTGACATGAAATATTCATTCATTTTTTGGCTACACTTAAAGACAGCTGTTTGAAATTACAATTATTATGAGATTATTTCAAAAGGTCCAAAATAGTAGTTGTACAGAATACTATTGTAATCAACTTTATATTTCGATTGATACCTATCATATTCAAAGTGTAAAACAGTTTTTAATAGTTCAGTTTTCTAGAGCAAAATTAGCTCTACAAAGGATGTCATTCACTTTTTTTGCATTTTATAAAAACATTTACTAAAACAGAGTATTTTTTTTACCAATGCCTATTTCTATAGAAACTAGCTCAATACAGTGAATATTTCGTTTTTGTAGACTTGAACCCTACCGAGCTCAGATTTGAGTTCTTTTTCACTAATATTTAGCATCCTCTGTGTAGATAAACAAGTGAAAGATCAAGGTTCTAGCTATCTACTGTCTACTCTCAAAAAAAAAAAAGGTCAACATACAGTTATCTCTTATTATTCATTTTTCCATCACTTGATGCTTAATAAATTAAAAGTTTTCGCTTACGATGGAACTATCCGAGCTGATTCTTGTCGTTTGAACTTATATGGGGCTCACAAGAAGGTCTCAGAAAAACTAAAAATGTCTTAAAAGAGTTCGTGACTTTGGACCTCTAGAGTCAAGTTATGACTGTTTAACTAAATTTAGGATGCAGCGTTAAGTATTTACCAAAAGACAAAGTAACGACAATTCCATCTAAAATTTTGCCCAAAGTTATGTCTGAAAACTACGAAAATATTCTAAAATCAATAGCCCAAAAGAATGTTTCTACGCTGAGATATTGATTTTTCAAGTAAACTTGATTTTTGTGACAAACTATCGTTTTTTGCAAATTCAATATCTCAACTCAGAAACTTTCTTTTCGGTTGAAACTTTCAAGATATTCTCAAAGTTATTAGACTTATCTATGGGTAAAATTTCAGGTCAACAGTATACTGTCTGATCTTTCATTAAATACCTAAAGCTAGACGGAAAATTCAGTAAAATACTCATAAATTGACTAGGGATCTCCTTGTTAACACAATATTAGGTCAAACGACGCTTGTTATTTTGAGTTACTCCTTCGTTACTTGAAAAGAAAGTTGTATTAACAAAAAAACAAAACAAATCGAACAATTAATATATAAATAAAACCAGTCATTAAAAATTGTTAAACCGACAATAACACTAAAGTCGTCAACTGCATGGAATATTTTTCGTTGTATTTATGTAAAAGAGAGAGCAAGCAAGAATATGTTCTATGTAACTTATTTAGGAAGCTGCAGGTCCATGTTTTGTGGACTCAAAGCTACCTATCTATTATCATATTGAGTTGAAACTAGTCTAAGACAAACTAATGAATGTGCCAACACTAATACATTATTTTGTACCGACACGGTTTGAGATTTTCTTTCTTAAAATTCCTTACCTAGTTGCTTAGTCTTATCTCATAAGAAAAATCTAAACATATATTTAGAAATAGCAAAAAAGTCTAACTCTGGCTCTCATCAGTTATCTTTTAATGACTGAAACATGAGCAAATACATTATGCCAATACTTTTGTGCTCTAAGATATAGAGAAATAATAGAATTAAATAAATTTACCTCAAAGAAAACACCAACAACAGCAAGGCTACGTGTATTAGGCATAGCATCACGAATATTTGAATACAAACTGGAATAAGTAACCATATGCATCTTTTAAAAAAATATGAATAAATAATAAATTACTATTAAACATTTTATATACTAACTTCAAGTGGATATGATTTTCCCTCATGTAAATGTTCTGATCCATTATTATTATCATGTGAATGACCCCAATGAAAATGAATTTGTTCAACTTTATAATCTTCACTCTCAGGTGCGACATTTTTTAATACAAAATGATTTTTCATATTAAGTTGTGCTATAATATAAAATGATTAAGATTATATTACGAGAAAACTATTCGATTGATTCATCAAATTAATCAAAATATATAAGATTTGTTCAAACCTGTATGACCGTTATTGATAAGTTCGGCTGGTTCTATTATTCATAATGATAATAATCAAAATATAATATATATTGATAATTATACTAATTTACCTCGAGGATATCGTTCTTCTAAATACATTTGTTTAAGACGGCGGTCATAATGTGATATATCAAATTGAAGATTAATTGGTGATTGTAAATTACCAGCACAATAACGATTTCCACGTACCCATTGTTTTAGATTTTCATAAGACCATGCGCCTACATAATCATCTTATTAAATAAGTTTTATTTCAAAAGAAAAATAAAATAATTTACCTTTAGATTCAACAATAATTGGTATGAATAATAATAATATTATTAATGCAAACTTTAACATTTTTTTTATAATAAAGTTATCTACAAGAAAGAGAAAAAAACTCAACGGAAAAAAAATATGTATGAAATAAGCAAAGTATTCGATTCTTGTATGGTAATAAATACATATTGATTTATCTGAAATGTATGATCCATGATTGTTTTTTCTTTTAATCAATCAATATGTCATGATAAATCCAATACTATCTTAATTCTATAGAACAAGATAACTAAAACTTTCATTCAAATACGTCAATCTTCTATAAATAGTAACTAACCATTGCAGATATATAAAAGTTATTCCATGCGATTGAGAAAAGCTGACAGAAAAAAAAGCATCTGTCAACGATTTATTTCAGATATTAACATGTCTAATGGTATCAAGGTTTATATAGGATCTTATTCTTACGTGTCAAACAAATTATCCACTTGATCATAATGGCTTCATTTCTTTTTGTTATAATCTATATTTAATCTCAGTTAATGCAGTACGTGTACTAGTACAGAAACGAACAAAAATAAATAGCACCCAAAATCTTCCGTGGTACAAAAGACAGAAAAGGAGAAAAAACAGAACAAGAAAATGGGCAGAAAAGAAATGTTATTTCTATCGGTATCTATTCAAGCTTCCTCTTCCCCCCCCCCCCCCCCCCTCTCCAAAAAAAATCGATTTGGACCTAAATATATTCAAATGGCATGAAATTTTCCGTCCTATGTCATGATGTTTTCAAGATGTATTCAACTAACAAAAGTCGAAAATAGCTAATTTGAAAAAGCAAAACTCTTAATAGACCTTCATTCTATAGGCTTAATTTTCTTTAGTTTGGAAGAAACCTTTTTTTCTGAAGTTCTTACTTTGTAAGGTGAGAAAAGGTCAATATCTCACAAAATGATGCTCTAACTATAAAAGTATTCTTATATTATAATAGCATAGGTTAATACAAAGAACGGGCTCTGTCATGCGCTATATCTTGACATATTCTTTCAAACAAAAAAACAAAAGCGATTGGTTACGATGAAAATCCTTCGAGAATTCTGTTATATGCGACCAAAAAAATTCATCAACAGAAAAAAGATTGTTTACTTTATCTGAAAAAATCATATTTTCTCAAGCAAAAAAGATGGAAAGTTTTGGAAAGAAACGATGTGTCGAATAAAACATCATATCATGTATGAAAGATAAGACCTCGGGCTATCTTTCAATGCCTTTATCTCAATTTTCATCTGTTTTCACCTAAATTTACTGAAAATAATCCGCGATGACAAAAAAAACCATTGCTGAATTTTCAATGAAAAATTTTCTTCGCATAATATTGTATATCTAGCTCGTTAAATAGAAAGCTATGAATGTATAAGTAGAGAATTTAATTAGATATTTTTTATATTAATAAAGCTCTTGTTTTTTTCTATGTCATCTAAAAGAAAATCGATTGTTGAAGACTATTTGTAAAATTTCCATTTAGTTATCATCACACTTTTTCAATTGCAAGCCTCGTCATAATGCGAATGTACGAAGAAGATGACAAGAAAAGACGCTTAACCATCTTGAACAATTGAAAATTCTCAAGTGACAACGATAATAGATTTTAGCAGTTTCAAAAATTACTCAGCATTGCGGTACCAGTGCGGTTGGTAAAATATTACGTGGAATCGAACTCATTAAATCATCAGATAGATGCAAAAAGTTCAAATCTATTTTGAGAAATTTTCACTATCAAATAATTGAGATTACAGACGTCACGGATTTCAGTATTTAAACAAAACAATACACTGAAATCTTTAATCTCAAAAATGAAAAAATGAAGGTTTCACGACATAGATTTACGAATTTTTCTATTTATCTAATGGTCTAACGGTTCTGATTGGATTCTCTATTTCAGTTTTTTCGAGACTCCGAACTCTAGGTGAGAGGCTGTTAGCCACGGCAACTGACCGAAAGTAATACATAGAACTGCGCAAACCTAGCCGCCATCGACACATAACAGAGATTGTTGAACATTTCCAACAGAGTGCTCATGACTGAAGAACAGTTGGTGCAAATGAACTTCGTACAAAGTAACAGAAGTACTAGCTCGAACTACTAACAACGACTACAATAGTCCGAAATAGAAGAAACCCTACAAGCTACAGAGAGTTACCAATCACATAAGATTCTACAAAGTGAATTGATGCCGGCAAGCAAAATGAAATTCAATTGCACTAACACTTTCGCTTATCGAAACTCAACTTAAAAAGTTTGGAGATATTACTCTCTGATGAACAGTCATGATGATCGTACTCTCAAAGACTATTCTAATATCTTTATACTTTTACTTGTTTATTGTAACATTGATCTTCATTCAACATTGTAAGGTTAACGTCTATCTAATAAACATTGCGAATAGACACTTTAAAAAAATGAATCTAATCAATTACAAATTTCATATGTCCGTTTTGTCATGTTCATATGTAAAATTATTTTTTTATATCATAAATTGAAACTTTTTAAATTGTGTAAATGATAACCATTTTTGTTTGTTGTTTCATTTGTTGATTTCACCTATTATAAAATTTCTTTGTTTGATTAACTGGTATCTCATAATCAATTGAATCTTTTGTATTTGATAGTATATGTAATAATGCTTTTAGAAATCTTGTAGAATGATAAATATCCATCTAATTTTTAAATTGAATTATTTGTTCTGTTAAGATTTTAATTGGCATACATTAACAATACTATATTCTATTGTTCAAAATCTTGACAGTGTATGCCATTATCTGAATGTATGTGTTATAGATTTAAAGAAATCTACAGTTTATTTTTCATATATATTCATTGAAGGGAAGCACTACAAAAAAAAGAAGAAAAGAAAATAGGGGATGAGTCGAAAGCCATTGACCCAATCTAATGACTAGGGAACAATATATAAGAACAGTGCTACTTATACGAATACACAAAGAGAAAGAGAAAGAAAAAAAATAAGAAACTGAGGAGTCATTATCCATCACAGTATGCATATTTTTTATGACTTTATTTATTGTTTCTAATGAATTGTTCGTGTTTGATACGTGAAAGTATCACATTGTTCATATTAATGAATCATGAGTTTTTAATTATTCTAATTTGTAATATATTAAAAATTCTTTTTCTATATTTCTGTCAAAAAAAATCAAAATAATGATGAATTCCTTAGCATTGTCTTATTCGTATCACATAGCATTTATCAATGTTTTATGATATTTTCCTCAGTATATCCGCACCTTGTGTTTAGTAATACATTAATCTTTGTTAGAAGTACTTGTAAACATCAAATCACAGTTATAGCATTTCTCAGGAAATATAAATCGAACATCAATAATTACATGAAAGAACTATATCAATATTGACAGAAAGAAAGCAAAACAAGAAACTATAAATATCATATCATGAACTAATCAGCTTCATCATACCTTATCTTATTAAACTTTACTTAATAATAATATTTCTTTTACTTATCTAATTTATTTGATAACTATAAATACAATTTAATAGTCTGATGAACAAATAATTCATTTGAATACTAATAATCAAAATTTGCAAAATTTATGACTATAAATAAAAGTTAAATATACTTCATAATCCTATAATTTTATTAACCATTCAACTTATTTAATAATCATATACTAATTCTACTTAGAATTAATCTTTAATTTTACTTAACAAGAAAATAATAGTCGATATTTTTGTTCTTATTCATCTGAGTGACTTACTTTCTTTTATAATAAACGACTATCTTCTATTATTTTACTTGATAATATGAAAACTGATATTCAATTTACATTGACTTTCAACCCAGGTTTTTTTACATACGTCATCATAAATCTTGATAGGCTTTTCTCTCTTTTACGATCAAAATAAATCATGATATTTATTACAAGTATACAGCACTATTAATCGAGAAAAGCAATAGAAACATATTTTTTAAATATTTTGCTAGCAGTAGGACACACATTGTCCTTGTCTCAGCACGTATAACATTGGCTGTGTAATTTATGTGAATACATTAAGTTTGATACACACAGTAAATTAATCAATGTGTATATCAGATCATTCTCATGGGAAGCATCAACGTACTCAAATATCGTCGTTATATGTTAATTGTGAATGCTACTAAGAAAAGCAAAAAAAAACAGTCTACAAAAGTAAAAAAGATAGAAACATCGAACGCAAAGAAACTGCACGGCTGTATAGACGTATACTTATTGATCTTTCTTGACAAGCGAGAAATTATCGCATTTTTAAGATGAACTAGTTTCTCAATGAAAAAAGTCATCAACACTAAAAACATAAGTACACGTCGATGATTATAAAATGTCAATTATTACCCATCTTCAGGTTATTAATGAGTACTTTTCTGAAGTTGATAAGACAAAAAAAAGAGCCATTTCGAATGCCGTACATTTCTTCTATTTTCTCAATATGTTCACCAATTATTTTTTTTTCTTTTGTATAGTATCAAGGTTCTAATAATAATTATTAGAATGTACATTTGGATAAAAATATTTTGTAGTTTCAGTTTAGTCAAGATAAAAATTTGCAATGTCAATCTTATCTGTACGATATTTTTCTTATTATACGTAGCTTATTTATCAAAATATATGATTGATCGTGAGAAAACGTCAGTCGTTAATAATATCTCATGGTCGACACATAGCTAATGAAATAGAAATATTAATGATTCATAATAAAAAAAAAGTCATTTATTTTACCAATTCAACTCTACATATTAATTTGTCAGTTTTCTTGATATAAATAAAATAAATAGGTGTCCTTCTGAATGGTTTTTTTACGTAAACAAAACTTTATTTGTCTTATAATGAAACATTATATATAAGAATTATTGACATCTGTAGTCATATATATTATTCTACTGTGCTCATTGAAAGGTCAATCTTGTTACTGTAAAAAAAAACCAGTCGACCTTGCTTTATAAATGATTGTATTGATATATTTTCTTTTATATATCTTACACAATTTCATATAAGAAATAAGATGAAATAAAT